CAAAGGTGTTAGCGATTGTGTTGGAGTCAATATAAATGAATTAACCTAAGAGACAAGATTGAATCCCTACGGTGGCAGTTTGAGACTGAACGAGTTTATCAAATTTCCAAGATTTAAGGTAGAAAGATATTGAAATTTCATATCAACCATAACTTGGATTGAGGGGATACGCTCTTCCCGATTTTATATGACTCGAATGAGTTAACAACCTATGGTAGAGATCTTCTCGACGACCAGGTTGGTTAAAACAAGAATTAAGGATAGTCATATCGGGAACGTTTGGGTTTGGATTTTGAGGTGGAATAGGAGGTCGATTTTGAATTTGGTTTGATGACCGACTAGACGAAGTCCTAGGGCGTTTGGAATGAGACATGGTTTTTAATCGGAATGGGATAAAAGAATACCTGCAATTTGAAAATATATGTATGGAATAATATCAATTCCCAAAACTCAATAAGAGTCTGCAATATTCAAGGTTCGCTAAAAATATCCTAACAGGCAATTTTTGAAACCAATATTGAAACCAATTAATGTTTGAAAAATCATATTATGTATAATTTTCATGAAAACAACATAATTAAATAAAAAATAATTTTAAAAACAATACATTTTTTTATTTCGAAAATTTTAAAAAATTTGAAAAATATTGTGTTTTTGATGAAATTAGTTGTAGAATCTAGTTTAGAATCATAATATGAACAATGCCCGATATCTAATTCAACCTAGAACTAATCAAAACTAGTTCTAAGTTTAAAATCAATAAAATAGAGGTTTTTGAAATATTACCTTGAAAATTTGGATTGAGTGAGAATGTGATATTGTTTGCACGAATTTAATGAATGTAGCAGGATTGTACGTTGAAAACTAGTTGAATTCTGAATTGATTTCGTTGATTTTTGAGTAAGATGGAGATCTTGGTAAAAGGGGTTCAAACGGCTGAGTGTTTAGAGTGTTTAGGTTTTGATAAAAATGAAGTTTTTTGGGATTTAAACCCAAAACCCAAAGGGTATACCGGTACACTCCTGAGTGTATCGATACACAACGAGGATGTATCGATACATAGGTATCGATACACTATTGCACAAAAATTTCAAAAACTATTTTTAAACACTTAGAATGCTAAATTAATTAGCTCTAGTGGTTTGACAACTCATATCACGAAAATTAACTATGTTCAATCAATCAAATCTATTTTATTTGAACATATTATTAATTTTCACTAAAGATCACAAACTCCCCCTAACTATTAGCAAAGAATGCAATAAAAAATTGTTATTTTTATAAGCATTTTTCAATTCTAATTAAGAGTGCTAAAATTATTTTAAACACTAAGTCAAGGTAGGTTAGTTAAACCTAATTCTCTCCTAAGTGTCCAAAATCTTTCTTTATCTAAAGGTTTTGTAAAAATATCCGCTAATTGGTGCAAAGTATCAACAAATTCTAGAACTATATCTCCTTTAGTGACATGATCTCTAATGAAATGATGTCTAATTTCAATGTGCTTAGTTCTAGAGTATTGATGGGATTTTTAGTGAGACAAATAGCACTAGTATTGTCACACTTGATAGGTATGGTACCAACTTCAATTTCATAATAAAAAAGTTGTTGTTTCATCCATAAAACTGTGCGCAACAGCTACTGGCTGAAATATATTCCGCTTCAATGGTAGATAATGCAATACAATTTTGTTTATTTGAAAACCATGAAATCAACATATTTCCTAGGAATTGACAAATACCGGGGGTGCTTTTCCTATCTATTTTGCATCATCCATAATCTGCATCAGAGAAGGCATGCAAGCTAAAGCTAGAGTCTCTAGGATACCAAAGTCCTAAACTAGGAGTGTCTTTAAAGTATCTAAAGATTCTCTTAATGGCTTTTAGATGCAATTCTTTAGGACATGATTGAAATCTAGCACATAAGAAAACACTAAACATAGTGTCCGGTCTACTTGCGGTTAGATAAAGCAAAGAACCAATCATAAACCTATAAAGTTTAATATCTACATATTTACCTCCTTCATCTTTGTCAAGCTTTGTAGATGAGCTCATTGGAGTGGTTTGGGGTTTTTCATCTTCCAATCCAAACTTTTTGAGCATATCCTTGACGTATTTTGTTTGATTGATGAAGATTCCATCTTTTCTTTGCTTGATTTGGAGTCCCAAGAAAAATGAGAGCTCCCCCATCATGCTCATCTCGAATTCACTCTGCATTAGCTTAGAAATATTATTGGCAAAGAGCATCATTAGTAGAACCAAATATTATATCATCAACATAATTTTGAACTACTAATAAATCTTTACCTTTTCTCTTTAAAAACAATGTAGTGTCAACCTTCCCTTTTGAAAAACCTTTTTCTATTAAAAAGTTTGACAAATTTTCATACCAAGCTCTAGGAGCTTGTTTTAAACCATATAAAGTTTTGTCAATTTAAAAACATGATCTGTAAATTTTGAACAAAATACTTTAAATTTTGCAAGTGAAGTTGCAATCTATTGAAAAAACTTGTTATCATCTTTTCCATGGAGGGAAAGGGGTTTCTGCTAGATTGTTGTCATCAATTGAGGATGCCTTGATCCCTTGAAAAGGGACCTCTTTAAGTCATAAAGATAAATGAATGCTGAATGGGTGGGAGCTTGCCCCTTGCAGGTCAACTTTCTATAGTCGAAATCTGAACAGATTTAGTTAATGTCATAATTTTTGTAAGGTATGGCTCATAAATATACCGGTAAAGAGGACAGGGGATGGAGCGGAGTGAGCGAAGCGAACATCAATTGTCCTTACAAAGAAAGTCTCGTACAGGGTTAATTTTGTAATTATGTACCAGGGTTTTCTATTATAAATAGATATGTAACCTAAACCTATGAGAATTGAATAAAATTTTCTAGCGCCGCCTAGGCACCGAGGACGTAAGCACATTGCCGAACCTCGTTAAAATTCTTGTGTTCTTTCGTTTACTTTGCCCGATTTATCAACATTTTTTAGAGAAATTATAAATTTAATCATATTTAATCACGTAATATTTTCGGGAATCGGGGTTGTATATAAATAAGATGGAGATAGTATGACAATGTTATAAGTTGAGAGTGGGTTCCAGCACACGAGCATGATGATGATCCCATCAAGATTGAAGATGGACCATGATGGGACTGAACATGAGCAGCTCCGATAGGTGGTTTGAAAATAGAACCAGGCTTGTCGAGCCCCATGCCGTCCATCTTTCAATGTTCCCCAAACAAAGCAACCCTACCGCCAATTCAATGCCATCAAACACCCATACATACGGATAATTTGTTCGGATAACTTCTTCATTTCCTCTCTCCTATCACTGTCTCGCTTGAATTTTACATCAAATTATCACGAATTCGATCCTTTTGATTATATACATAGATCGGATAAGTAATTAGAGTATATTTATCCAAGAAAGCAGCACACAAGCTGCTACAATCAAGAACACCCCGTACACGGGAACCCCGGCCTAAATAATCCCCCAACCAACGCACAAATATACATTAGTCCTATACTCCTGTCTATGCACGGTTTATACAGCTTTATAAGAACAACTTCTTTAATACAATCGACAATTTTATCAATAGAACGATTTACATCCTTAAACAATCTACGATTGCGTTCCTCCCAAATGTAATACACAAACGCAGTCCAAGCCAACTTGAAAATTAAAACGATAAGCAATCCTCCCCTCATATTATCAACCGCCCGTAACAGGTTATGCCCCAACTCATAACCTTATAATTCAATCTGCAACTCCACATAACCTACAACACTTCATTAGTAACAATGCAAATCCAGCCAACCTATTTTTGGCAGATAGCCTATCCAAAACAGCCATCCACGCAATGACGGAAAACTTAGGTACGTGCGAAGGAAACCGGGTAAGTTTCTGCCATCTTACCTTTCTCCATTTTCACCTAATCCTATCCCAAATCCAACTACAATTACCAAGGGACCAATTTGTACCAGCAACAAACAGATACCTTGCTTCAATCTCTTTGAGTTGCTTGGCTGAAGGAACTATTGTGATTTTGATCATTTTAATTTTCATTTTTTGGATTTGAATCGCCTTAATTCAGATTTATTTTTAATTTTGATATTATATTATTAACTTTAATGATCAAGTCTTATAGAATTAAATTCAAATTAATTCCATAAAATTTTTAATTTTAGGTTAAAGTTGATAGATCTACATCCAACGAATTCCTTCTCGTTGGTGGTTAAGTTAATTTCCCCTCTCCCTCCCATTATTGATCTACTATTGTAGAAGGAAGCTCCGATAAAAGGAATCAATGCTATTTGAGTGGAAGAAAAGTATCAAGGAAGAAGATGGAGAGAATTCCCCATTATCAAGGATGTTGTTTGAAACCGGAGAGTTCATGCATCGTGTTGTGTTTTAGGGATGTTTGTCCACAGCTTGGTGCGTGTCTGGAATTTCAGACAAGCTTGAAAAAGGAAAATCTAGACTCCATGCAATAGGTGGAGTTGGACCAAAAGACAGGGTGAAACTTCAATAAGCGGGGTTAATTTAAGTAATAAGCAGCTTTTGATATACTTAAAAAGATTTTAATAAGCATCTTTTGATATTACTTAAAAAGATTTTGATTTCGATACATAAAATTTCTGTCGCGAGATTCACCCATCAAAATTAGGTCTGCAACTTGAGTTGGTCTGCAACTTGAGTTGGTCCGAATTAGTTAAAATGAAACCTTGAGAATTAGAAGAACAATAGGAAAAAAAAACTTGGAGTTAGGCTGGGGTGGGCGGTTCGGGCAAGTTGCAGTGTCCTTTTCTTACCTGTCCGGATCATTGTCAAGCCTTTTCCCGACCCAGCCCCCCCATTGCTGTCCATAACTCCTCTCCCATATATGCACACACTTCACCAGCTTCAACCAGAACCTACATTCCCTCCAAACCCCATCTCTCGGTTCTACTTATTTCTTCACATTATCTTGTGTCTAACAGTGTTAGTTTGCACTTCAGTTTCAATGTCTGATGTGGAGCTTCAACTGTGTCTTGCTCTCCCCGCTCCGAACAACCACCATGGACTCCACCACCTTAAACGAACGAGCTGTTTAGGAGACAAAGGTTACGGTGTTAAAAACAAACGTGGTTCCGAGCAGACATCTGGAAACTTGAATAATCATGAGTGTAACGCAATTCCTTTACTTCTTTGGAGTGACCATCCAAACAAGGAAGATGCTGAACACAAGGATAAAAAGAAAAGAACATTCGCCATTGATGAGTAAGTTCTCTTCATTTGATCCATATTTAGTTTTATCATTGAATATTGACAAGTACCTGATCTTGAATAAAGCAGTATGAATGGTGCAGAAGATCATGTTGTGGGATGGCCGCCCATCAAGTTATGGAGGAAGAGAACATTGCATCATCATCACCACCACCATCAGCTTAAAAAAGCTGCACAAATTGGAAATGGAAATCATGGTAGATCCATTTATGTCAAGGTGAAGGTGGAAGGGGTGCCAATAGCAAGAAAGATTGACCTGAGGCATTACCATTCTTATCACGAGCTTACCAATTCATTAATCGCCATGTTCACCCAAAGTAAGTAATCGTATATAATAAGCAAAGTCACTTAAAATTACCCAAAAACCCAAACAATAAGTAGCAAATCACGAGAACGTTGGATGGGTGTACATGGCAACCTATGCTGTTCGTTAGATGCTGTCACGTCGTAGGTCGCCTGGATTGCATGGCGACCTACGGCCATTACTGTAGAATTTACCCTTCATCTGAGCACTGCATTATCTCATAAACTAAAAACTTCGAGAGCATTATCTCGTTAATTTTGTCATATTTAAGGTTACTTTTTCTCTTTCCGGGGACTGTTTTTGAACAGATAAAACACGTGGTGAAGATGATTACAATACACGTTATACTCTCACTTACCAGTACAATGAAGGGGATTGGTTGATTGCAGGAGATATTCCATGGCAGTACGTATATTTTTTCCACCCAGTAAAACATGGATTAAAGACTGTTAAAATATTAAATCCTCATCGTTTTTACTGTTGGCTTTGCAGAAGTTTTGTTAGGAGTGTGCAGCGGCTAAAGATACTAATAACTGGGGTTGAAACCATGCAGTAACTTGTTGTAAAAGCTGTACAATCAAATCCGGAACTGTTTATGTAAGAGCCTGGCAAGAACAAGATGTGTGAAGCATAAATATAATTTATTACCATTAGCTTGTTAATTTCATGTTCTCTGCCTGATTACCATATGGAGTTGGATTTTATTTTGATAAGAACCCTATCACATTCATATATATATATATATTTCTTAAATTAAGCGGCTTGTGTTAGTTGAATTGTGGTTGAACACTTGACTTTCCCGACAACATTTATGAAATTTGGTCATGCTTTAAATCTGATTATTGAGCCTTTAAATATCAATCGTAAAAGTTTGGCTCACCTAATATTTTGGAATTTAAGCTGAAGTATTCACAAGCAAGAAAAATAGTTTCAATTAAAAAAATTTCTTAATTAGGGACTTAAATTATCAAATAAAATATTTACATTATTATATGTAATTATTTTGAATATCTATCTCTACAGTTTATATTGATGTAACACAATAAAAATATCACATAACACCATAAAATTAATCATAATTTGAACGTTTAAAATAGAATTTTAAAAGAATCCATCAAATGATTTTTTTGAATAATAAAGAGGCTAGAGCCTTTACATTAGAGAGATACTAGTCCTGTGGTGGGGTGGACTGAGAATATCTCGGCTAAGAATGTTGTGAAGAGCAGTTGGAGCTGACTGGAAGATGCCTATTGAGCCATCATTGTTGACATCAGTTTTGGCTAGGTAAATCGGCAGCAAAGTTCGCTTCACGCTTTATCAATTTGAATTCTAATAACCTGTTCTTGGAGGTGAATTGGTTAATCATGCGAATCAGAGAAATTGGGGAGCTCGAAAGGTAGAGGAAGTGATGAGGTGGAAAGCCACAAAACTATCAGTTTGACATTGAACCTTATTATAACCATAATTTCAAGCGAGTTTAAGGCCTTCATAGATACCCCAAAGTTCAGCTTGAAGAATGGTGGAGCGACCAATGTATTTGTTGAATCGTACTAACCATGTGCCTTCGTAGTTTCGAATAATTCCACCAGCAGTGCTAAGAGAGGAGCGAGAATTTACAGCGCCATCAGTGTTAAGAGAAATCCAATCGTTGGGAATGGGCGTCCATTGCACAGCTTCGAGATGACGAGAGCGATAGGCAGTTTGGGGAGGGGCTTTAGCATAATAATTAGCCCAGGAAATGCTATTGTTGAAAGTATCAGCATTTGAATTACCTTCTCCATTGGAGTTTCAACGTTTATAGATCTACCAGATAAGAGAGAAGAATACAATACTCCAAGGAATATACGTACCTGGGAAGAGGTCGAGTTGAGCCAATGTTGGATAGGATCCATTATCAAGGGGGAGGGTGAAAAATTGGTAGAATGCTGGTTTGAGATGACAAAATCCCATAGGTGCTTGGACTCGTTGCAATCCCGAAGGATATGCAACGTTAATTCTTCACAGGAGCCACAAATAACACAAGATGGGTCGTTTGTGAGGTTTCCCTTCCATATGTTAACATTGGTGAGGATTCGATCATGGAGCGAAGCCAGATGAAACGTTTTATACGTTCAGGAGCTTGAAGTTTCCAGACCAAATTCCAATCACTACTTTTGGGAGACCAATTGGGATTTGAAATTTGGATATAGGTTTATTTAATTGAAAATTCTCCATTTTTATCATGATTCAAATGAAGATATCATGGCCTGTATTAAGAGCAGGTGATGTGATCCTGTCTAGCACCAACTTTCTTCATGACATACTCACATCATTAAAGATCCATCAAGTTCAATCTAAGGGAGTTCTACCTTACTTTATCTTAAATTTACTCATTTATGCACTATGCATTATTGTGAGCATACATTTGCATATTAGAATATACTTAAATTATCAAAACATGTGCATTTATTCATTACGTCATATGGTTTGCATCATTGATTGATATTCAAGCATATAATCTATAGCTATAATAATAATATTCATTATCATATTATGCATGAGTTATTATTATAACCTATAGTACACATCTTTATCATATACACATTAATATAGTTCATTTACTTAACTTATTTTCTATGTTATGAGTGTAGGTACATTCGACCATAACTTGGGAGCTATCTTGGAGCTAAATGATGAAAGCAACAACAAGGAAACTTACATGGGGACGTTTAGGAGAGCATAAGGAACATTTGGTGAAAGGTTATCCAGAGACCCGTGAGCTCATAGCTGGATTGAGCTGAAGATTTAACCTACAAGATGACTTCAATTCAGCTGGGGAACTGCACCATCATCATCACCACTTAGGAAACTTCAAATATGTCTTAAGTCAAATTTTGTGCAATCGTACCTTTTCGTGAATAGTTACCACCTTAAGAGATACCTTTTCACAAGGAGCTTCCATAATGTTCATCATTCTATAACTCACTTATGGCCAGCTCACCTCCATCTCATTCACCTTAGAACTAGCTCAAAAATGAAAGGTTACATTTTCAAACATTGTGACCTTTCATGAATGATGCTGCCCATGAAGATGCCCTTTCATCAAGGAGCATGTTGGTGAAGAGATTACACCCATTGGAGGCCTAAATCACCAAGGGACGTGAGAAAAACTACATGCATATTCGGCCACACCCACATGCCTTGCACATGAGAGCTTTGGCGCCAATTTGAGGAGACACAACACCATTCGGCCAAAGGAGATGTCTTTGGCGCTAAGATGAACAAGCATGACACATTCGGCCAAGGGAGATGTATCTTCATCCTAGTCGAACCAATATGTCTCATTTGAAGAGGTAGCCAAACCATCACCAAGCCAAGGGACCATCACCAACACCATCTTCCATCAAGGCCACCAACATCTTCATTATAATTCCGCATCCATCTCTTTCTTATTTTATTTCATTAATTATTTTCTTATCCATATCTATTTCCATTTCTAATTCCATCTTTTTCTTATCTTTGTTGAAGCCATACTTATAACTCAAGGACATCAGTACTTGTCATTCCTAGATCGAGACAACAATAAGGCTATCTACTCACTTCATTGAAGAGTGTAGATTCAACCTACATCAAGCGGTATTCAGAGCATAGTTTGATTGAAACAAAAGTTTCATTGGTGTGCAACAACAAAAGCAAAAAAAAAGTTCAAAAATGAAATCAAAATCTCATACAACAATAAAAGGAGTTTAAAAAAAAGAAAAAAATTTCAATCAAAAAGAAAAGAAAAGCCAAGGAAAAGTGCTCTACCATTACAAGTACATCAAGGAGGCATATCTACGCTATATAAGATAACCTTATTGTTTCTTGTGAAAGGGTGCAATAAGTGTTGTTTCTTGGGTTGTAAGTCACCTCTTCCTTTCTTTACTTTCATTTTCCTTGTCTTCAACCTTTTCTTTCTTTTTATTACCTTGAATCATTTCTTCTTTTCCTTTCCTTGAATCATTTCTTCTACCTTTTCATTTCTTCTTTTCCTTTCTACCATAACCTATTTTGCAGCCGACACACACAAGAAGAGAAATAACTTGTTCTAATCTTGAGTAAGTTCTACAAAGGACTTAGTATCGAGTGGAAAAAGGCTTATTGAGTGAGTGAGATCAGAAGGGGAATAGTAAAAGCCAAATCATATTTTCGAGAGTAAACACGAGTGTTGAGTGAAGTGATATTATCTTTTCTTTGGAGTGAAGCTTGTGAGGTTTTGTGAGTGTGTTGGTAAGGTTTACTTTGTTTTATTTGTTTACTAACTATGTCTCAAGTTTCAAGACAAATTTTGGTCGTGAAAAGAGCTTTAAATATTCAATCTATGGAGGATAATCAAAGAGAGAACATTTTTCACACTTATTGTCATGTAAACAACAAGGTTTGTTTCATGATTATCGATGGGGGAAGTTGTACCAATGTTGCAAGCACTTTAATGGTGGCCAAACTCGAAATCAAGACAACTAAACATCCCACACCATACAAGTTACAATGGCTAAATGATGAGGGAGAAGTCAAGGTCAAAGCAGTCACCATTTCATTTTCAATTGGGAAATACCAAGACCAAGTTCTTTGTGATGTTGTTCCAATGAATGCTTTCAATTTACTCATAGGAAGGCCTTGGCAATTTGATAAAAAGGTTGTTCATGATGGTTTCACAAACCGATATTCTTTCTTTCACAATGAAAGGAAATTCATCTTGACTCCACTTTCACCAAACCGAGTGAATGAAGATCAAAATCATTTGAAAATGAGCATTGAAGCAATGAAAGAGCAACTTAAAGACAAGCAACTTGAATAAGACGTTGGAGTTAAAAATGAGAGAGTTGAAAAGGATGAATTTGGAGATAAACAGGAGAATAAACAACATATTTTAACTAACCTTGCTCTTTCATCTATTCTTCCTATTGTTTTGCATGATAATGCAAGAGATGTATCTTTTAGAGGAGATGATTAAAGAATCATAACTTTTGGAGGACTAAAATATGTGACCTTTGAAGAACCAATAGGCATGAATCTTAATGTTTCAAAGGTTATACCATTTGAAATTCCAAAAGAAGTGTCACTTGAAGTGTCAAGAGTTGTGTTCGTTAATATTCCAAGTACATTGCCAATCCTGAAAAGAATTCAACAACCAACTCCTATTAAACATCCACCTTGGTTTGATACTTCCATTTATTTTGTTTATAATTTTTCATATTCTAACTTTGATTTAATTTGCAGGAATTCAATTCATATACATGGTGTTATCCTACCAAACGTTGATGGCAAGATCCTTTCTAATTATGAGATTGATTTGTGCATTGAACTAAACCATTTCAAGAGTATAATGCGAGCATTGTACTCAAGAGCTATCATTTGGAAAGTAGCATCAAGCATGAAGGAAACTATTTAGAAAACAAGGGCTTAATTCATCTAACTGCTTGATACGAGAATGCTTGTTGTCAAGAAGCAAGATTGAGGACAATTATTCTAACCTTGAAAATACAGAATTTTACTTTGATTTACAGGACAATTCAAAGGACACAACTTGTCAAGGGA